TGGATCAATCCACTATGGGTTGCCTGCCTCAGTCAATATAGCTACGACACACAAGGCTCAGGGAACTTAGCAGAAAGTGGATATAAACAATATAAGAGCTGAAGAACCAGGATATCTACTGTAAGAGAGAATGCTTTAGATATATCAAAAGGGCTGAGTCAGCAAAATCCTAAAATATAGTCACTGAAACAAGACCTACGCAATGGTAACACAAGTTGACAAGCTAATGTGGATGTAGAAAATCTCATAAACCTTTCCCATAGATGAAGAGTTACAGGTAACTATTGGTTGCTGAAAGAGAGAGAATCTTTTCTAAGGATGAAAATCACTTTCTAGGGATGATCAAGCAGCCAGTTCTATAGACAAATACACATAAGCAACACTAAATGAACTCAGCACTCTATATGTGTGTGTATAGACACACACACACACATATATAACATATGTGTGTATCTGTGCATGCATACACATACACACATACACATATGTATATATGACAATGACTAAAGAAGATGTCACAAGTTAGAGAGAAGGTCATAGAGGAGCTGGAGAAGGGAGCAGTAGAAATAATACAAATGCAGTATTAATGTGTGAAAATTTACAAAATTTAAGTAAAAAAGAAATACGCCAAATCAGATGTCTGAAGGATTTTTTTTTTTTACATTCCAGAATATAAAAATAAACTGACAAGGACTGGATTTGTAGGATCCATTCCAGAATATAAAAATAAATTGACAAGACTCCTCAGGGACTAAAATGCTTGTTGTGCCAGGCATGGCAATGTGACTTTGCATCCTCAGGTGAAGGCCAGGTGAAGTGGCATGTATCTGTAGACCCGCATTTGAGGCAATAGGTATTTCCCTCGGAGCACACTCATTAGGCAGTTGAATTGAAACCATCTCCATGCCCTGATTAAAAATAAGTTGAGGAATACTATTAGATTATGGGCCTCTTGCTTTAATATAAGATTTGTGTCTCTGTGTGGCCTGTCCCTCCAGACAAAGAATTGGCAGTCCCCCTCCTCCAGCTTCTTTTCTCCCCAAATTCTTAAAGATGCAACAGGTACTTACAAACAAATGTGGCTCTTTATCTCATTTGACGCCTGACCCGAAACTGGCTTAGAGCTGTGGCAAACTCCTCCAAGCACCTTAGGAAGAGCTACCGAAGCAAGACTCCCACTCTCTTATTCTCTTTCTCTTGTTCTAGTTCTCTAACTTACCTGCTCTTGTTCTCTCTTCTTTCATTCTCTTCCCTTCTTCCCTCCCTCTTTTTCTCCTGCTTCCTTCCTTCTCTTCTTCTTTTTCTCCCCTCTCCTTTCTTCAGGTTTCTCTGCAATGCTGTCTGCAGAAAATATTTCTTTTACTATTTAACCTTAAGACACCTTTCTTAATGTTTTTATGATGCTTTTCCGCCTTATGATCCTGTAATGCTGCCTTTGGCATGATGTACTGTCCCTCGTGATGTATTTCCCATCTCATGGCCTATGGTCATATGTTGTTGGGGGATGGTCTTGTGTGCTGTGTATTGGGATGCTGATTTCTGTGCCACAAGACCTGGTTGTAGTCTGAATGTTGGCATTGTCATTTTTATGAAGAATTTCCTGTCTCAATGTTGTGTAAAAATTACTTCCTAGTTATCTCTGGTTGGTTAATAAAGAAGCCAATTAGCCAATAACTGGGCAGTGGAGGGAACACTGTTCTTAGTCTGGGAATCTCAGGTAGAGAGAGAGAAGGAAGAGAAGGAAGAGAAGGAAGAGGAAGTTGCCATGAAGAGTTTGCCATCAGGACAGAGAGTTACAACAGAAGGCCAAGGCAAGTCTGCGATGGCAAGTAAAAGAGCTCATGGCTGGGAGGTAACCAGACTAGCATAACTGGGTTAGAATAAAGGAATATCTGCCTAGTTAAAGAGCTTAAAGCTTGTTGAACAAATCTAATAGGTCTCTGTGTCATTATTTGGGAGCTAGGGTGGGTGATAGAAAAGACCCCTAATAATACAATAATTTGACAATGTATATCACTCTTAACAAATCTTATTTTCTAAGGGGTCATTTTTGTGTGAGCTCCTTTTTAGAGTCCATCAATGACTCTTTTATAAACAGCATTCTAGGTGCAAAACAGATACACATCTCCTTCCTTAGAAGAGATAAGCATGCGTATTTAACTCTCCTCATTTTCCTAGTGTTTATCTGTGTGCACAAGGATGTTGTGCCCTCTACATATCTTTATGTCTATTGCCTGTCTGTCTGTCTGTTTTAGAGTTTGTATTGCTGCAACAAAACACTATGACCAAAATCAACTTGGAGACGAAAGGGTTTATTTCAGTCACAGTTCATCATCAAAAGCAGTGAGGACAAGAATCTGGAGGCAGGAGCTGATGCAGAGGCCATGGTGGGGTGCTGCTTATTGGCTTACCCCTCATGCCTTGACTGACATGCTTTCTTGAAGAACCCATGACCACCAACCCAGGAATGGCTCTACCCACGATGGGCTGGGCCTTCACTAATTAAGAAAATGTCCTATAGGCTTGTCTATAACCAGATCTTATGGAGACATTTTCTTATATCTATCTATCTATCTATCTATCTATCTATCTATCTATCTATCTAT